TCTTTGACCAAAACACCCATCTTCATTTTGTCCATAATTTTCATGTCGCCCAGGACCGCCACGGCCGCCGCCAGGAGCCTCACCTCTGGATGCAAATGCACCAGGGCCTTCTCCCCTTCCACCATAACCACCAGGCCCTTCATTTCTCCCTTCAACATTGGGACCCCTACCACTATTACCTAGACCACCAGCCTGACCATAACCAGAATCACTAGCACTCTGTGGACCTGTCAAACTAGCCTTTGCTTGAGACTGGCCACCAGTAGCACCCTTCACTATCTGAGAAACCTGACCTAGATTTTTTAACAAATTTGGTCCACTCTGAATCAAGTTGTCTAAAGCTTTCTGTACTGAAGGGTTGTCAAAATTTATCTCAACACCTGAAGTAGAAGATTGGTCATTCTGAGGAGATAAAACAGGCTCCCTTCCTGGTCCAGCATTTGCTGTCGTGGAAATTGGTGGAGCAGAAGACAGTGGCCTACTTTCTGCAGCCTTCCCTATTTTAGATAATACATTAGTTGGAGGAGAAACAGGCTGATCCATAAGTGACGGAATTGAGGTTTGTGCACGAGTTTCAAGTTGCACAGTCTGAGATTTGGCTTGTGGTTGCTGTGATGCTGCAACACTGGCTTTACCAAAAGGATTAACATTTTGTTGGTTGGCAGTTGAATTATCTGCAGTTGTAGGAGTTGCTGCAGTACCATTTGGGTTAAAAATACTCAAAATCTTGGCTTGAAGATCAGTTTGCTGCTGCTGCTGCTGCTGATGCAGTTCATCCTGCTGTTGCTGCTCCAATAACCTTTGAGTTCCTGGTGAAACAATGTATATTTTATAAAGAAAATCTACTTCAAGTAGCAAAATGGTTTTCAATCAAATGCCCTACCTGACCCATGTGATATAGTTTACACAATACACAACATGTTTGATGAAAACAGCTAACCAGATAGCTTTGATGTTTCATTTTTAATAACTTCTTCGTTTTTTAGTCATATATATCTCGATTTTTCTGTTATCAACTTCTTCTATACAATTGTCAATTCCTGAATTACTGTCAGACACGATGTAATTCTATTTGCACATGCAACCTATCTAGCAGCGGGTCAGGGTAGAAAAAAAATATGAAAAGGAAGACAAATTTTTAAAGATAGCGGAGTGAGTGTGTTTGAGTACAAACAAGGGCACCTAGAAGAACTATTTAAGACAGCTGAGAAACGTGGATTTCCAGTTAAAAAAGATGGTTTTTCAGAAATTAACTGAGAGAGATGGTACGCGAGTAAATATGACCGTGACATAGTTTTTCAACTCCCTAACTACCAGCAAAAAATATGAAAATATTACGCTATAGCCAAAGATAATTTGCATGTTTGTTATTCTTGCTTAGGCACAATACCGGTAGTGTGCATATTTTCAAAGGCTGGTAGGAGTTAGTTGAAAGATGGCAGTTTCATTTCAGGGGATTTTTTACATTGCGAGTTGGAAACATTGATATTCAGTGAACCGCGACTCTGTGCGCTTGGAACGTTCAAAATCTGTCTTAACTTCCGGTTTGTTGACCCCAAGTCACGCAACATGCGCAAGAACGATGAACGCGTAAACTTTATCAATTCAGGAACCGGAAATTGGTCAAAAAACTTTCACAAGATGCAGAGATGTGTATTAAGTGAAGGTAAAACTAAAATTTAATATCTACATACACGCTGTCTTCAACATAAGAAAAGTATGACTCAATTTCACATACTGTAACTGGTAGAAGCTATGGTCATAAATCATTTTGCAAACACTATTTACATGCGTTTTTAATAGAACAAATACAGTAGTTAAATTTCCAAGAAATCTCTGAAAAAAACTAATTAAAGGAGAAATCACAGGACTTACTAATTTTGTTATTAGCAGCAGTGGTTCTTTGGACATCTAATGATGGTGCAGACAATACTCTAGTATTCTTACCTTTCAAAAGCGTATTCTTGCGATCTTGTAGATAATCGATAACCTTACCCAGTTCTCCCACTGTTAGTTGTTTTCCATCAGCCAATAGACACAGGAGTTGTGGGACTGTTAACTCTACACCTGTGGCCAAGCTTAAATTTGCTGCTAAACTTTTTTCATGAAGGTTTTGCATGTAACGTTCAAAGTTATGCGCAATAAATGTCATGGCATCATCCAGCGGCATGTTCCTATGTTCTAACAAAAGAAGAAGGGGCACAGGATAATTATTTTATTTTAAAAAACATTAGTTTTATTTTTGGTGATGAAAAGTCGGCCAATTAAAATTTGCCAATTCCGCAATATTTCCATCCAACACTCACGTCCATACATATTTGACCAACTGTATTTAATTGCAGAATGGTGTCAATATTATTCAGTCCATGATGGTTATAGAAACGACAATGATACAGAAAATTCATTGATATGACACAATTTTAAGTCCGCCATTTTGTATCAAAACTTGACTAATGTATAACTTGTGTAAGGTTAATTTAATCCTGGCAAAAATGCTCAAATTTGATCAACCAACTGCCTATGCATAGGTGTGGTATGATGTGAACACGTTCATTAAAACAAAATGGCAACCAGTCAGCCATTTCGATTCTGATCTAAAACAGGTCAGTGAAAATGACACAGTCCCCATTAAATTTTTGAAAGTTCTCTTTGTGCCCGGGGTGTCGCGAGCATGTCCTTCAAACCTGAGTCCCAAGCGACAAATACAACAGATTGTTTATTTACATCAAATTCGAACATGTATTGCGTGATGACCCCTCCTGATTAGAAGAGAAAGACATAGATCACAAGTGAAAGTAAAACAAATTGAGGTGGATGTTTATGTTATTGCACTTGCTAAAATTGTTTAAAGTATGTTTGAGAAAATGCAAGTCTGAGAATCAGAATGAGGCACTAAAATTACATTACCATACATTGTGCATCTCATGAATATTAATGCTTGTTGCCATGGTGTCCTTCAATAAATCTTTACATGGGGCTTACAATGTTAACATATGTGTAATGACTGAATTTGAGATTCTGGGATAGGGAATACAGCAATTACAACTCTTTGTAATTGTATTGTTAGTTCTGGACTAAAGTGGCTAATAGACCCTTTGTACAAGTCGAGCGCCCTCTTGTGTTGAATAATATGGTAAAGGCAGTATCCTCAAATTTGCAGTTTTAATAAATATCAGTTCAAAATAATGCGTTGAATTTAATTTAACGTTTGTCATGCCTCTAATTTAAATTCACATGGCAGGGGGTGTCAAACAATGGTGATCTATCTGTGAATTACACTTGCCCATCTACATCATAAAATTACAAGAACTCCCCCCGCAGGAGGGATAGTTCGCCAAATTATTAGTGTAAAACGTCCATATCCCCATAACCATATCTGAGAGACGGAAAGCAATCTCAGATATGCGAAAGGCGCATGCTCACTGTGACAAAATGCAATGAGACATGGAATTGGCGAATCAAACAGTAGCATCAATGTGAATCACCCCTGAGGGTGAATGGCACCCAGAGTTAAAGCGTAGGTCAGAATAACTGGCATGTCAAAAAAGACACCAACATTAAGAGTAAGCTAGGCATAGGCCCAATTCAAAAATGTATAAGCATGTCTAAGATATCACATTTTAAACAAACAAGATGGCTGCCAGTAGGCCATATTTGATCAAATTGCAATTGACATGAGTTGACATGTACATGTATCCATTTATGACATGCTAAATATCAATGAAAATGATACATGGGTGACAGAGATATAATAGTAATATGGCCAAAAATAAAAACAGCCATTATTCGGCCATCTTTGACCTGATTATGAAACAAACTGACATGTATGATGTATGTGCCAAATACGAATGAAAATAGTACATAAATTTTGGAAATATAGTATGGCTGTCAATCGGCCATCCTTGATTCGATTTTGAAAAAAATTGTCATGAACATGTATTCTAACATGCATAAAGTATGCACCAAATTGAATGAAAACTGACAAAGCATGTCCAAAATACAACATTTTCAAAAAACAAGATGGCTGGAAGTCGGCCATTTTGAATCAAACGTGCATATGTCCCACATAAAGTACTAGACACATGCAAAGAATGAGCGGAATCAGTCCGAAGGATTCTGAAATATAACTCCAGACTGACAGACTGACGGACGGTCGGAGACCAATTATAAGTCTCAGTTTTTAGACTCCGACCATGATACAGTTCCGATTAATGCAAATGCAATCAAAACTGGAATCAATCAGCCATTTTGAATTAGAATTTGATTAATGTATAATTTGTGTGTCAAGTTGGATTTGACCTGGTTACAGAATTAATTTTCATATTAATATGGCTATAAAGTTGATTCCATATGGTCATCTTGAATTTGATCATGAAACAAATGCATGTGTGATATGATATGCATGTGTATACAGCAAGTGTGAAGTTTGAACATGATCGGTCAAGAACATGTCTAGCATTTTGCAGTCCAGTGAGGCATGAATGTTCATAATGACAGTGCTCAACAAACAAAATTCATTTGGATTTTGTGAACCAGCGATATATGCGATTATTTTTCAGAAAGTAAAATTCATTTTTATCAACTGAAAGGCATGTAATGTAGAGTTTGTGTAGGTATTTGCCATTATAATGTTAGGACATTGAATGTCACTGTTGTCTCCTCTGATATTTTTAAGGCAAATTGCAAGTGCCGACATAAAATGCATTTTTGTACAGAAGCCATATTCATGTTTGAGACTACATATCAGGGCTGTACAGCCCAAGCCCAAGGTGCTGACAGATATGAAAACTGAAACAAAATTATTCACAGTGTCAGGTATTTTTTTTTTTTTGGATTTTTGTGTTTTGACCTATCACCTACATTGTTTGCTCACTCACAATGAATCTAAAAACAAAGTTATGAGCTGAAAATATTGTCATCGTCACATTTGATTAGTTTTATGTCCATCACAATGTTTCATGGTTATGTTGTTTTTGGTATATGAACTTGAAAGTAATCAATATTTTTGACTGAAGAAT